TTTTTTTACATTATTTAATTTAAGACTATCAAATACATTAATTTATATACATATTGTATCTTTCCCTTTTGTAATTATATAGAATTTTCTTTTTTATGGTTCCTTTTTATGTTAACTTTAATAATTATTATATATATTTTAAAAATTTACATTTTTTTTTTTTTCTTGCTTAATTTATTAAATTTCTGATTAATCACTTTTAATTTGAACATATGATTTAATATTTATTAATAATAGTTTTATTAATTTTTATTTTTTCTCTTAAAATTCTATTTTAAGTAAAACATTAGATAACAATTACATAAGTATGTATCATATTTATAGTTATTGAACACTTATTTATATAAAAAAACCATAAGATTAAGATATAAAATAACTTATATATCTGCCTTTTTTTCATCTATATTATTTTTCGTAAAATAGAATTTTTTTTTTTTGTGATATTTCTTAGAATGATATTATTATAATAATTTATTAATTATCTATTCAATGACTTTACCAGTGTTCCACTAACAAATTAATAAAGAGCACGTGTAGATAGACACATTTATTTTATCAAAAGTAAAATCAATTATTATATAAATTATTTATTTTTATTAATATCAAATATTAATTTTATTAGACATTTATTAAGTTGTATGATACACTATATATATAATATTTTCTATTGCATTTTTTTAATCTTTTACTAAAAAAAAAAAAATATTTCTTTTTTTTTTTTTTTTGTGATTTTTACAAGAGTTTCTTTGTTATTTAAAAAAACAAAAAATGATAATAATGTTTTTTTATTTTAAAAGAATTTTTTTAAATAATTTTTTTTTTATAGAACTCTATTAAAGTGGTGTAATGATAACTTTTTAAAATTAAACTTTTGATTTTATTATAAAAGTATTTAATTTATAATTTTATAACTTCTAATAACCATGAATATTAGAAAATGAGTAAGCATTATATTTAATGATTTATTAGTTACCTATGCATTGACTTTTCTTGAGTATTAAACAAACAGATTAATAAAGAATATGTAAAGTTGCTTCTAATTATTCAAAGAATTTTAATATAATTTTAAATACTATCAACAAGTAAACAATATTTACAAAGTGTACTTTATTGACAATTAATTGTTTTCAAGAGATATTTATTTACTTTAATAAAAATTCCCATTTGTATTAAAAATTTAAATCCTCATTGATTATTGATTTTTTTAATTAAATATATTATTACTTATAATGTTATAAATAACAGTTTGCAATAAAAGTCCATTACTTTTAATTTAACAAACATAAGTTATAAAACATAAATTTAATTGTACAAATGTAATGAACAATGGAGTATTGTTATTGTTAATTTAAAACTTTTTTTTAAAATTTAAAATAAACATTCACTACAAAGAAAATTTTCAATAGTCAACAACCTTTTCTTTACTTTTCCGAACATAAAATCTTTTTAAAAAAATAAATGTATTTTTTTATGTAATTAACCTATAAATATAAAGAAAATTATCTACTTTTTTTTTTTTTTTTTCTTTTTTGTTTATCTAGTTCTTGCATGATCATATATTTTCCATATATCATTAACTATTATCTCAAAAAAAATTAATAATACATTTTATTAATTAATCAGCTACTAAATATTGCATCAAATAGGTTCATAATATGTTTTGTCAATCATTAATTAAAAAGAAAATTTAATATATAAATTTAATACAATAGTGTAAAACAGATAAATAAAAGACTTCATTAACCTTTCAGCAAATTTATAAAGTAATAGTTTATTTTAAAGCTTTTCCTTTGCATTTAAGATAATTAAAATTCATTTACTGATATATACACGAAAAAAAGAATAAACAAATTTCTTTTACAAAGAAAAACTACAAAGTAGTTAGCAAGAAATTGCATATCTTCTGAAATATAGTAAAGGTATGTTTATAAAATATACTTATATTAAAATCAAATAAAAAAAAAAAACTTATTAAATTTCCTTTTTTTATGGTGTGAATACATTTTTCTTTGATTTTTTTATTTAATATAGTTTTATGAAATTATTGAGAAAGGTAATAAAAGCTATGAGATATATAAAAAATATGTTAAATTTATTATAAATAGGTAATTGTATAAAGGTTATATAGTTATTTAATTTAATCAGTTTTATTATATATGAAATAAGTAGAGATTATTTTACATTCCCTTTATTAATTTGAGAGTTTTTAAGTACTATAAAATTCTATGAACAGTTAATAAATTAAAAACTAACAACATAATTTACCAATATCAGTATTATCCTTTTTATATGTACAATTTTGTACTTAAGAAATAATATTTAAAAAATACCTGAATTGTTCATGAATTATAATATAAAAAATATCATATAAAAAAAAAGCTTTTTTTTTTTTTTTTTTTTTGTGTGTCTGTGTAGAGCTTGTATGGCTTATTGTGTATTTTTAATATAGCTATTAATTTTTATTCTTAAAAAGTCTAATAATATCTTTTATTAACAACTTCAGAAAAAATATAATTTTTTTTTTAATATTTATTGAATATCTAAGTAAATCATTAACTAAAAATCATCTTAATTAACAAGTGGTTGAATGCAAAATTTAATATAAATGTTTAGAGTATGTTATATTATTATGTTTAATTAACATAAAGTTTTTTTTATTATATTTTTTATTTGTTTTTACAAATAAATGTATCATTTAAGTAATTAAATATATAATTTTTTTATCATTAAATAAAGGAAAATGAAAATTTAAAAAATCTATTTTATAGACATGGTTAATAAATGGTGATATTAGACTTTTATAGAAAAATAGTTAATAAAATATTAGTAAAATAAAAATGTGGTTATGCATGTTTGATATTTTACAAAATATATTAAATAAATAGTTAAAAATAATATATTTTATTTTATTTTATTTTTTTTTTTTTTAGTTATGACTGATTTTTTTAAGAAAATAAATTTCTAAAATGTTTACGAACAAAAATTCTTGAAAAAATTATAGACAGTTTTTACTAAAAATAATTTCCCTTCATAAAGAGATTATTTTACACTTTATGAAAGGCTTGTAAAAGTAGAACAATTAATCATTAACAAAAATTAGCAAATTTTTTATTAAACTTTTTAAATGTCTTATGAATTAATTACTTTATTTAGAACAAATAAAATATGGAATTAAAATATTTTATTGAAAGAATTATAAATTCATAATAAATGAGTTATTTGTTACTTGTTATATACTCTGAAACTATAACATAATTGAATATTTCTAATAAAAAGTATTTTTTTATAATTCATAAAATTAGTAGAAACTACTTTGAATGTTCTTTATTAGTTCATTTATTCAATATTTTACAAAAATATATGGAAATATAATTAATAAAGGAACTAAAAGGAAAATCAAACCTATATTTTACATGTACTAATTTATATTTTATACATTTTATTATTTTTTTTCTTAAATTTTTAAGAATATAAACGAATTATTCTGTATTTAATCTCCCTCATGTTTTATTAATTATAATATTTATTTTTGTTTTATGATACAATTTTTTAGTTTCAATTTCAATATAAATATAAAAAAAAAAAAAAAATTGCAAGCCTTCATTTTTTTAACTTTTTATTATGTAAAAAAAAAAAAGTAATTTTGTAAGTTTCTTTATTAATACTATTTAATTTCACAAATATAACATGAATCTTCATTTATATTTTTTTTTTAATATTAATATTTAATTTCTTTAGTTTTGTTGTAAAAAAGTAAAAAAATATTAAGATATTACAGAATTTTGAAATGTTTTTAATAAAAAAACTAAAGCTAAAAAAAAAAAAATAATAAAATAAAATAAAACAAAGAAAGAAATGTAATAAATTAAAAATTAACAGTATATAGCATATGAAGCAATAAAAATAAAAATAGCTTTTATTATTTAATTCAAACATTTGCAAATACATGAAAAAATAATTTTTTTTTTTTTTAATATATTAAACATTATATAAAAAAATGATATTTTTTAATTTCTCATTATGTTAAATTTATTTAATAAATAATTTCCTCTAAAGATAAACACAGCTTTTAGAAATAATACTATGTTTAATCCTTTTTCTTCTTGTCTTAAATTATTCATATTAAATGTCTTTTTGTTAACAATGAGGTATATCTTTCATTTTAAAATATATATTTCTTCATATAGATGAAAAAAATATATTCTAAATTAAGATATACCTTAATGATATTTAACAAAAAAGGAATTTAATCTATTATTTATATAAGATCTAAGATACTTTCAGAATTAAACGACATTATAGTAAATAGAGCATTTTTGATCAATAGTAAAAGTGAATTATTTTAATTAAATTTTTAAAAATTATCTATAATAATTTATGTTCCTCTATAAAAGTAAATTGCTAAGATGGAATAGATATTTTTCTAATAACCCATTCAAATATAATGTTACAAAAAATAATTTATATAATTATATAAAAGCAGTGTCGTCTTTTAAAGAAAAGAGATAAACTCAAAAAAGAATGTACATCATTAGTAAATTAATCATTAGACATTCAAATTTTTGTATACTTCATGTGTATTTACTTTTTATTTATAAAAAAAAAAAAAAAACATGAAAATCAAATATAACATATTTTAAATTTAATTATATATTAAGTAAAATGAAATATAAGAAAAATATAAATACACATGTAAAACTATTAAAAACTTATTTATATTACATAATATTAAATAATATATTTTAATAAAATAACATACACCACTTTTTTTTAAAAATATAAATGAACAAAAAAAAAAAATGAAAAAATTAAAAGCCAATATAAATGTAATAATGAAAAAAAAAAAAAAAAAAAAAAAAACAATAATGAGAAAAATTATATTTTATAAAATGAAATCAAAATACATAACATTAAAAAAAAAAATTTTTAACAAAAATATATATATATATAGTATAAAAATTAAAAAGACAGTTTAATTTTTATCTCTAAAAATTTCTATATTAAACAAAAGAAGCTTCAATATATTCTTCTTTTCTATCGATGTTACGTGTATTACGAAAACTTCTCTCATATGTTAGATTTATTTCATTTTTATTGCAATCATCCTTATTATCTTTATTATTCTTTTTTTTTTTGAATAAAAATAAAATAATTCCGCTACAAAATAATAGAAGCACAACTAATGTTTCTGTTAATTTAATCTTTGTAATGTATATTCTACCATACCAAATTTCACTATTATCTTCACGATTATGACTGCGTTCATTATATTGAAAATTAGTATTATTATTTATTATTACATTATTATCCTTTATTTCCTTAATTTCATTTACTTGTTTTTTTATATTATTAGTTACTTTCTTTTCATCTACTTCCTGTTGATAATTTTTTTTTATATTATTTATATTATTTATAATATCATAAATTGAAAGAATAATGTTCATATTCTCATGTATAAATTTTTTATTCTCATCTATACTAATTTTTATATTCTCAAAAATTCTCATCGATTCTTTTATCCAAATCTTAAGATTTTTTAGATAATTATTTACTTCATTTTCTATTTTTATATCTTCTTCCTGTAATATATAATGATCATTATTATATTGATATAATTCTAAAAATTTGAATAAACAATTTGTTCTTTCTATTAAATGAGAAATTTGATTTTCATGATTATCCAATTGATTATTTTCATTATTATTGTCATTTTCTAACTCTTTGACTTTTATAAATTCATTCATAATATTTTCATAAATTTCATTAACTTTTTGTGTTTTTTCTTCTGAATGCATATCCCCAATACGAAGTAATTCTTGGTTTCCTTTTTTTATAAAATCTTCAATTTCTTTTAACTCATTTTTTATATATAATATTTTCTCTTTTTTATATTCTGTAGTATCTTCATATGATTCTGCTATATCAAAAAATTTTTTAACAGTATCTCTTAAATCCTTTAGCTCTATTTCATTAATTTTTTTAAAAATATTTTTTAAATTTATTCTTTCTCGCTTAAATTCCTTATAGAGATATTTCACTTCTTGCATATATTCGTCTATCAAATTTGAATTCTTTTTTTCATTCACATCTAAAAATGCATTTTCTAAATCACCCATTTTTTTTATTACATCTCGTTTTTTTATTTTAAAATTCTCAGAAAGTTTATTTAAATTTTCGACATTATTTGATCCATAAAAGCTTACGAAATTCCTAGATAAACATTTATTTGTTGTATAAATGTCATTATTTATATAGTTATAATTATTTAAAACATATTCTACACATGAAGAAACATTTTTCTTATTTTTTTCAATTATGATTTTATCTTTTGATATTGCATTGTTAATACTTGTAACAATTAAAGAGAGAAAATATAATTTACAATTTCTTCTTAACTCTAGTAACTCACAAAAAGAAGCGTTAAATCCTAAAATGCTATTATTTATATGAACTATTTTATTCGTTATAGTATTAATATCATCTTTTACTTTTTCTAATATGTTGGTAGTAAAATACTCTATGTCTGATATTTCTATAAGTTCATCCATATCATTTAAAGAGTTCTTATATTTATTAAGTTCCGTTATTATTGAATCTGTATTTTCTTCTATCCCTATTTGGTTATATTTTTCATAATAGGAATTTATCAATTTTTTAAAATTTGTATAATCTTTAGAGTTTTTTAAGATTTCATAATATTCCGTCTCATCAAAATTTAATTCTCTTATTTCTCTATATTTCTCAAGTGAATTTTGTGCATTGCGTAAAAGTTTATCAATTTCATTTTTTGTATCCCCAATTTTTTTTTTTATTTTATCTCTTACTTTTATTTGTTCATATATGTTTTTCATATTCATAATATTTTCTTCATTTTCTTTTTCTTTATTATTTATATCAGCTGAATCCTTTTGTATACCTAAAATAATGCCTTCGATATCCTTTATTTCTTTAAATCCCTCCAGACTCCATATTGTTTCTAGACTCATATTTATAAATTCTGATGCTTTAAATATTTCATTCAAAATTGAATATGCTTTATCTCTATAAGTATCATGTTTTAATTTTCTTTGATTAAATTGACTACCTTTATTTTTTGCATTAATTAATTCTTCAAGTGCAATATTAACACATTTTGATTTTTTTATATTTTCAATATTTTTTTTAATTTCTTTCGTATATTCCTCCATATATAAATACTCTTCATGAGCAATTTTTTTAACTTCATCTAACTGACCTTTCATATATAGTATTAATTTTAATGTCTCGTTTATTTTAATATCTCTTATATTATTTAACAAAATTTTTATTTCCTTATTTAACTCTTTGAGTTTTTCTTTTTCTACTTTAGCTTTTTCTTTTTTATCTTTCACATCACTGTATGTGTTAGAAGAATCTAAAATACTTAATGCATCTTTTTCTATTTCTTTATATGATTTATCAAATGAATCATACATTTCATTCAATTTTTTTTGAGGGTTTTCAAATTTTTCTATAATACCATCTGCTCCTAATACAGAATCTTTTAAGAAGTTAATAGAGGTATCAATAGTTAATTTAATTGATTCTTTTAATAATTCTATATTTTTTTTCTCTTCATCAGCTATTTTTTTTATTTGTAGTAAAATTCCTTCTTCAAAAGATGTTTTATATATTTTCATTTCTGCTTCCATATTATTAACTTTAGTCTCTATATCTTTAAATTTATTTAATTCAATTTTTAAATGTTTTTTTTTATTTTCAAATTCTCTTAAAATTCTAGAAACATTTTTTAAATTATCTTGTTCCATTTTTAATTCATCTAATACATCTTCATAAGATCTTTCCGATACGACTGAAATTGATTTCATTTCAATTTCAGCAGCATTAATAATACCTAGTATTCTATTTTTTATCTCTTCTGTATCTATTAAAGTATTACTTGCCTTCGTTCTTGTAATTTCTATTCTATAAAATTCACGTAATGACTTTTCATTATTTGCATCTTCTTGTTTTTCCATATGAGCATTTTCTTGCTTTAATATAATTAATTTATTTATTAATATTTCTAAAAAATTTTTATTATTATAATAATCATTTTGAATTTCTGCAAATATATCTCCTGCAACACTTTTTCTCATCTTCACCTTATTTTTTTCTGCAATGAGTAAAGAATTTTTGAAAAGATTATCCATCTTCTTCCCATATTCTAAAGATAATTCGTAATTTTTACTAGTTTCTTCTGAATCTTTATCTGCCATATTTGAGTAAGTTTGAGAATCATGGACATACTTTTCTACATCTTTTAATACTTGTTCATTTATTTCTTTTCCTTCACTATCATGATTTTTTAAATATTCTATTTTACCTTTTCCTCTTAAAGTATTTTTAAAATATAATAATGCAGCAACTTTATGTTTTTCAGATTCTCTTAAAAATCCATATATAGTTTTTATATAAGATGCAATTTTACTTTTAATTAATCTAATTTCCTCAATTCTTCTATCAATTGAACTATCATCCAATTGATTTATTAATAAATCTCTTAATTCCTCTGCATTTTTATAATCTTCCATTATTTTATCTTTTGCTATTCCTGATTCTGTAAGTTGTGTTTTAGCTTTTTCTTCTTCTTCCTTAACATTTTGAGAATTACTTTGTAAGTCATCCATTACTATACTAAATTTTGTTAACATTAACAATTTTTCCATATGTTTAATTATTTTGGACGTATTATCTATGTTACTTTTTTCTTTTAAAACATCTTTCAATTTTTGTTCAACTTTTATTTGAATAGAATCAATTTCCTCTTCTTTTTGAGAATTGGATATACTTTCCTTTAATATGCTAACTTCTTGTTCTGATTTATTTATTTCCTCCTGATTTCTTTTAGAATTTTTAGCATATTCTTCATAATTAAAATTATCTAATCCACATTCCTCGTCATCTGGTATTTTTGTCTCTAATTGTTCAATTTTGCCTTTACACAAATCAATTTCTGCTATCTCTTCTTCACCTTTTCTCTTTATATAAGTAATTTGATCAATAGAATCATATACTAAAGTTTTTTTATATTCTAATTTTTTTTCATTTATATTTTTTAATAATTCCAATTGGTCTGCTTCCAATGTGTTCAATTTTTCTAATATTGTTTTCATTTTTTCATATTTTTTTTTCATATTAATTCTTTTTTCATTAAAATTTTCATTAATTTTCTTTATATTATCAGATTCATCAATATCATTTTTAGATTCAGTTTTAATTTCTACAAATTTTTTTTCATACATGCTGATATTACCCTTGAAAACATCAAAGTTTTGCGATATTGAACTTAATGTTACCTTATTAGTATCATTATAAATATTTTTTATATCTTTTTCGTATTTATATTCTTCAAAACTCTTTTTTGTTACCTCTAAAGTTCCTAAACTTGTTTCTACTTTACTATTTATATCCTGATCTAACCGTACTATTAAATTATAAACTAAATCTGCTATTTCATTATTCTGAGAATTAATTAAACTATCAACATCTAAATTAATTGTAGTAGTTCCTACTTTTAAACTACTTATTGTATTTGTAATGGATTCTAAATTTTCTTTCTTACCTGATATATCTTTTGAATGAATTTTCAAATTTTCTTCAGTAGGAATATTTCCAATAGTTTCTTTAAAACTTACAGAATTTTGTAAGAAAACCTTTAACTTTTTCTCTACCTCATCAACTTCTTTTATTTTATCTTCTACTATTTTTTTTTTTTCATTTAATTTACTTAAAAGTCTCTCTTTTACATTACCTTCTATCAGATTATCATCATTGATAGAACTAATTTCCCTACTTATATTTTCATCTGATTCCTTTAATTTTCCTTTTAAATGTTCAATTGATTCCTCATTTCTATTACATCCATTTATAATCTTATTTAAAACTTTAACAGTTTCTATAATTTTTTTTGATAATTCAACCTTTTTTATGCTATCATCTATTGAATGTGTTGCACTGTTGTATCTCTCTTGATGTTCATTTAGTTTACCATCTGCATTTAATTCTTGAATGGTTGTTTTTAAATTTTTAAGCTTGTTAGAAACTTCATCATTTTGAAGAATATTATAAAATTTTTCTATTTTGCTATACAATTCAAACTGTTTTTTAAAGTTATATGTAATATCTCTTCCATCACTTATTTTTGTCGATATTAAATTTTTTTTTTCTTTAATAACATCTTTAAGATTCAATGTGTCTTGAGATGAATCTTTTCCTTTTAGTGAATCACTATCTTCTTCAATGAGTTTCTCCATGAATTCACATTTTCTTTTTGTTATATCATTCTCACAGGTTTTCAAAATTTCCACTTTTTGTTCATAATTAATTAAATTTTCATTTATAGAACCCAATATAATGTTAAAATTTTGATAAGAATTCTCCATTTTACTATATAAATCTTCAATTGACTCTGTTATAATGTTATTCCTAATTTGTGTAAGATAATTTTCTGCTGGAATTATTTTATCATTCATGATAGTTGAACTTTCTTTTACAATATTATCTATTTCAGAAGATTTTTGTTTTACCTCTTTTAATAAATCATTAATTTTATTCAAATCATATATTTTATAATTTAATTTTTTTTTTTCAGATACATAACTTGGTATTTCTATATATGCTTTTTCTATTTTTTTACTATCAAATAAAGAAGCTAAAGCTGATTCTCTTTTTCCTTTTGCTTCTTCTCTTTCTGCTGTATATTTTTCTTTGTTATCACAAGATGATGCATCAATTACTTTTTCAATAATTTTTAAGTCTTCATTTTCACTATCTTTTAAGTCCATAAGTGTTTTTAATTTGTTCATTTTTTCTTCAATTTGTTCTAAATAACTTTCAATATTTTTTACATTTTCTTTGATAGCTTCCTCTTCTTTTCTTTCCAATTCCTTCAGCTCTTTACTTTTTGCTTGAACTTGTGTAATTAATTTATCAATTTCACTTTTTAAACCATTTAATTCATTATTTTTTCTTTTTAACTCTTCAAGTTCTTCATTCGCTGATGTTATAATTTTTTCAATACGTTCTTTTGTACTAATAACATCATCTGTAATGTCATTTAATAGTTGATTTTCATCAACTTTTAAACTTTCTTTTAATGTTTTTATTTGAGATTTTTGAGTTTTAATTGAATTGTGCTTTTCATTATTTATACCCAATTTACTTTTCAAATCAGTATTATGTGTATCTAATTTAGTACATAAATTATTAAGTTCACTTTTAGTTGTAGAAATTTTAGGATCACTATATTTATATGGTAAACCTTCTATTACCTCACAATTTTCAGAAGTTATATTATTAACATTACTTAATATTTTCTGTACATTTGAAACAATTTGTTCAATATTTGATTCTACTTCTGCAGGATAAACTAAAGAATTTATTTCTTCCCCTAATTCCTTTTTTATTTTATCATACAAGTTATGAATTGCTTCTTTTTTCTCATAGAAATTAGATTTTAAAGTTTTATCCCAATCTCCAGTAATAATAAGCGCATGATAAGCAAAGGGAGGAAAAGTAACTGTTTGAGTAATATTATAATTATAAAATTTAAAACTACTTAATTCTTCTTTAACACTAGTAAAAGACTTCATATTATTAGATAAAACTTTTTGGTTTTCTGTATGAACTTCTAAAATATCTTTAATTTCATCCAGTAATAATTTTAAAGAGAATTTATAGTGTTTATGATAAAAATTTTTATCCAAAATTTTTGATAATTTACTATCATTTTTCATAAAATCATCAAGTTCTTTTAAAAATTCAAATTCTTCAACTTTTACTTTTATTTTATTATAATAAAATTCTATAGCAGATTCATAAACAGATTTCACATTATTACACATGGTACCATTACAATATTTCTGACATAACAAGCTATCGATGTTATGATAAATTCTCCAATTTTCCTGTTCAATATTGTTATAATCTGTAATCAAAGTTGATTTTATCTCTTCTATCTTTGATTTAAATTCATTACATTTTTCTGTAAACATATTTCCTTCTTGTGAATTTTCAACAAGTTCTTCTAATTTATTCATTCCTTTTATCAGTTCATCTTTAGATTTTTCACAGTAACTTATATATTTCTCAATTTTTTCTTTTATATTATTAATAGATGGGATTATATCAGTTGTATATTTTTTTTTTGTATTATCTTCCTCTTTGAAATAATGTTCCATCTCCAAATACGAGAATGATACAATATATCTATCCTTTCCTCTGTTATATTTTTCATTAATTTCAGTAATCAAACTTTTGTAACTATTTAATAATTCTGTGTCAATTGAATTTTTAGCTTTCATTTCAAAAAAGGAATGTGAAATATTACCCAATATGTTTTGTTTTCCTTCATTAAAAATATATTTTCTAGATATATATGGAATATTTTTATCTTTAGATATAATATATAATGGATATGTTGTAGTATTATAATTTTTTAGAATTATAGGTTGCTTATATAAATAAGATGTTTTTTTATCTTCATTTTTTAATTTAACTGTTTTTTTATTATAGTTATTTTGGTTTGAAGGAATAGAAATTTCTGATTTTTTCTTTTCCTTCATATTATATTCATTAAGAGACTTTTTTTCTACTAAATTAGAAACAGATGACAATTTTTTCATATCTGATTTACACATAGTTGATACCACTTTAACTTTCTCCTCATAATATAGATCTACATGTATATATGAATATATAAATATATATATGTATGTGTGTAAATCATAAAAATGAAAAAAACGAATACTTTAATAATAAAGTATTTAAATACTTAAAAATATAAATTATAGAAATATATAACTACATATGCATGTATATGTATTACCTAAAAAGACAAATACGAGAATCAAATAAACTATACTAATTTTTATTTTTCCCATATTTAAGATAACAAAATATATGTTATTTTCTTTCTCTAACATTTAAAAAGAATATCTTATATAATCTTCAAAAATAATTGTCATTGTTGTTAGTTTAGATGAATATTTAGAATATTTTTTTGAACATTATTTGTAAAAAGATATTTCGTATAATTCCTTTTTTCTTTTTTTTAAATTATTATAAATATTTAACTTCAAATATAAAGTAAATAATAAAATTATATAAATATACATAATTTGTATATAGAATTTAATAAATGGTAGTAATGTTAAGGAAATGCATGTGTAAAATAAGGAAAATAAAAACAAAACTATATAAAAAAAAAATTAAGGAGAATAAGGGAGTTATTTTAAATAATTGAGAAAATTGTTAACACATAAAAAAAACAAAGTATAATTAAGAACTACTTGTCTCAGTAACTTATTATAAGCTACAATTAATATAAAAAAAAAATTTTATTTTTTATTATCGGAGTTAAAAGTTTACCTTAATTAGTTTTGTGTGTATAAATAAATGAACATATAAAAAAAAGAAAAATTAAAAAAGTATAGAAAGTGTTGGTACTATATATATATATCTTTAAACTTATTTAAAATATATTAAAAAACAAAAAATGTAAATTTTTATTAATTATAAATGCATTAATTTATTTTTTAATTTTACGAGGTGCATTTACTAAATATAGTTAAAATTGATTCAATCTAATAAAAAATTATATATAGTTCTCAATAAGTTTAAAAAAAAAAATTTTAAATGAAATATAGATTCTATAAAAAAACTCAGAAAAATAATTTAAAAAAAAAAAAATTTATTTATTCTTTTTTTTTTTTTTTTTTACATATATATATATATATATATATATGAAAATATATGAGTATTGAAATAATCTAAACAAAATTTGAATCTCTTATTTATTATCTTTATTTCATTTTGTATTTAATTTCCTTTTTTTTTTTAATTCTTTCATTTTTTTTTTTTTTTAATTTCCATTTGTGTTTTTATTTGATTTATTTTTTATTTCATTTAAATTATATATTGTAAAAATACTGTACACTATTTTGTTCTTTTATATACGTATTTCTCATTATAGTTAATCATGATAAAATTATTATTAAAATTTATTAGATAATACTTTTATTATTAATATCACTAAAGAAATTTTATTATAGAATTATCATCTTTGTTCTCATTAAAATGTTTTTATGCACAATTTTTATTTATATTTTATTTTTTTTTTTTAAATTTATTTTGACATTGCGTTTCTGCATGTAACACTAATAGTTCACAATGTGTTACATTTTGTTATGATTGATGAATTTTTATTATTATAAACCAAAAATAAATATTATTATTAGTTTTGTTATTTTCTATTATACATATTTATTATATATAAAAAAGTATACTTAAAAAGAAACGATTCATAATAATATGTATCTATGTAAATATTAATTTAATTTCATAACATTTTAGCAACCCTATTATTATGTCATTATAATCTTACTTCTAATATAAATGATAAATAAATAATATATATCATTCTTATTCACTTTTTATTTTCATAAATTAATTTTTCTTTTTTTCATTTAATTGTAATATTTATATATAAACGATAAATACATTGTAGTAGTATATATATTTTTTTATAAATAAATGATAAATACATTGTCACAATATATATATTATTTTTCTTTTTATTTGAATATAGCTTTATTTTAATTTTTTAAATATCAAAATATAACCAATTAAATTTTATTCACACATTTTATATAGTAATGAGTTATATTTGTAATGATTTTATTTTCCTTTTTTATTAAGTATACCATTTAATAACTATTTTATCCTTTATAAACCATCTTATTTTATTATTTTTACTTTTTATTTCTATATTTGATAATTTTTTTTATACCTCCCAATTTTTTTTTTTTTTTTTTTTTGTATAATTTTATAAATTTTTATATTAACTATACATATATATATATATATTGTTAATATAAATTGCATTTAAAATAAAATTATATATTTTTGTTATTTTTTTTTAAAGTAAAATTTTAAAATTTTCAAATATGAAATATAAATATTGTTAATTTTATTTCTGAATAAAAAATTTAAATGAAGAAATAGCTATCTCATATTATATTTGTTTAATATATATATTAATCTTTATATTGTGTTTTAAAATATAAAAAAACAAAAGTATTTACTAACAATTGTCTTAAACATTTATGAAATTATTTGTTTTTATATAATAGAAAAAAAATACGCTATTGAAATATGACTTTTAAGAATATAAAAATTTATCATTTTTTACAAAATATCCATAACTTCATAAAATATTAATAAAAAAAAAAAAAAAAAAGAATATTCACTATTTTTTTTTTTTTTTTTTTTATTGGTAGAATAAGAAAAAATATATATAGAAGAAATCATAAATAAGGAAAAACATTAATATATGTAAAGAAAAAAATGAAAAAAAAAAAATTTTTATTTATGTAAATATGAAATAAAATAGTAATACAATAACTATTTAGAATTTAAACAAATGGAAAATTTATTGGAAATTTTTGTAAGATATATATATGTATTTAAAGTAAATTTTTAAAAATTAAAATGTCCAGAAAACATTTATGAAACAAAGAAAAGTTATATTCTTTCTTTTTTTTTTTATTTTAAATATGATCATATTTTAAAAAATATATTACCCAATAACTCCTTTAAAAAATATTTTAATTTATCTTTAACATACATAAAGTTTTTAGTTAAATATAAACATCTTATTTCCATACTAAAAATAAATTCCATTATTTATTTTTATAAAAAAATTAAAGTGAAATTGTAATAATATATAATTTAAATGAAGTAAATAATAATAATCTTAATATTTTTAGAATATATTTTTTCATAACTTAATGTGTGTAACGACACAATATAAATAAAAAAAGAAAAAAAAAAAAAAATTTAGCTTATTTTTACTTTTTTTTTAATGTATTATTATTTATTTTGTAACTTTTTTTTTTTTTCATATTTAATATTTTAAGTATATTTTTCAATATATAATTGTTTTTCTAGCTTTTTTTTTTTTTTTTTTTTTTTTTTTTTTTTTGGCATAATTGTTGTACTTCTATTAAATCGCTTTCATATTAAGTATTTTTTTTTTGCAACATATTTAAGATGTATTATTAAAAATTATATTTATAGATTATTATATAAATTAACTTAATAATTAATGTAATTAATAATGAATATCAATTAATAAGAGTATATAATTTGTGTAACATTTTTTTTTTAGATAAAATAAATAAAGTTTTCTTTATGTACTCTTTATTAATTTGTTTATCTAATACTAACAAAGTTAACGATCATACAATTAATAAAACAATAGAATATGGATATAAAAAAAAAATAAATTATACAAAAAATATTATATCAGATAAAATTGTTTATAATTTTTTGTAATTATCTCTTGAGAAACTAATGTAAAATTGTTTTAATTTTTACATATATTTTTTTATATATACATTAATAATAATTTATATCAAGTTTAAATTATAATGTATTTAAATAACGCTTGAAATTATTTAAATAGTTAATACAAGAATAATTATAATAGTACCATATAACTATTTAATTATTAAAATATTTTTTTATCTATCTTTTATAAAATTTTTTATATATTATATATATTTTTAATAAATTTTATGAATTTTTTTATAAGCATATCTCATAATATTACTTAATTATAATATTATAATAATTATAATAATTATATATAATGTATGTCTATTCTATAAGAAAAATTTTGTCAATAAAAAAATATTAGGTTTAATGTTAATTTTTTTTTTTTTTTTTTAGTTCATATTTTTTCTTTAATTTTTCTCACTATAGATTAGAATATTTAAATTTCTTAAAATAAATTTGTTTTAATTAATAGTTTAATGAATTTTAATTATTACAATCAATGTCTTATACATATAAACAGTAGTTCAAAATTCAAAAAAAAAGCTATATATATATATATAAATATAATTTGATGAAAATAAATTTTTTTTTAGTTGAAATAATTATTAAACTAAAAATATTAATCTTGAGAAATGGATATATTAATCAATATTCTAAAAGAAAAAAAAATTATCAAAATTATTTATTTAATTTTGTAAAATAAGAAAGGAAAATACATGAACTATTCCACTGTTATTTATTAAAAAACAAAATCATATCTTTGTTCTTTTAATAAGTTATCATATAATTTATTAATAAATTTTTCTTTTTTTTTTGTTATATTTTTCGTGATTAATTGAAAACGAATATTTTTGTTCATTTAATATTTTTCTTAGAGTATTATTAATGAAATTATATGTAGGTTATCGGTAGAAAAATGTTTACAAAATATTAAGTCAAAAAATAAAAAAAAAATTTCTCATCCACTTCTTTTATGTTATAAACTTATACTAAAATAAAATTACAAATTTATAATATTATAAAAGATATCAATAAAAAGAAATTTTTTTTTTCTAATTTATATTTTATATTGATTTTGATTTATTTATTCCGTTTAAGCACTCATGCATATATAAATTATTATAGATGGTTATCAAAGTAGTAAATGTAAAAATATAATTTTAATCTATATACATTATAAAGATTATTTTAATCAACATTAAAAATATAATCGAAATAATATTCATAATTTTCAGTTTTAACACAATTACAATAATTATAATTTCGTTTAATATTTTACACATATATCTTGCAGATTTTCTTTCATTTTATTTTTGTGACTGTAATATTTATCACTTTTATCGTTACATTTTGTAACTATTAGTGCAGTAATCATCATAAATAAGTATATAACTCATATTATCATTACTTTTATTTTTATTTTCTATTTTTTTAATTGTATTATTATTAACATATAATAATTAAAACAATTAGATAGATAGCTTTATAATAATTAAAATATATATATACTATTTATTTTTTTTTTTATTTATTTTTTTATCTGTTATTAATGTTTTTATTGTAATTATCATAAATTCCCTAAGAAGTTACATGCTGTTTTAATTTATATTGTTTCACTTTTTAATTAATATTGTAACTAATGTTGAAAATATTCTTTTATATTCAATTTTTATATTTTATATATATTTCATAGTTTTATTATAATTTATACACCTTAATACTACTGTAAATGTATATTAACATTATTATAACATTAACCATATAATCAATATAATATTATATTATTTAATTTATTATTAATATATTTTATTATCCTTATAATTTTCTATTTTTTTTTTTACTTTTTAAAATAATCTAATTTTAACAATTATTATCACTAAAATTGACGCGACCCAATATATTCTGCTTCTTTTTTTTTTTTTTTTTTTTTTTTTTTTTTTTTTACATTAATTTCCTTTTAATTTTTTACATTTATATGATTTTATCTAACAATTTCTAAAAAAAAATTTACAAATATTTGACTAGGTGATTATATGTAAATGATTTTAAATTGAATGTCTTTAATTCTTCAAAAATAAAAAAAAAATTTCAATTTTTTTTTTATATGTTAAAAATTTAATAAATAAAAAATGTGAGAACTCTTATAAAATATTCTTTCAATAGTTATTTTAATACAAAGTATTAGTAATTAAGAAAAGAAAAACATAATTTTTAATTTTTTTTTTTAGTGTAATTAAATGATATATATTAATATTCTCAATTCAGAATATTTGTTCACACATTTATACTTTAATATTGATGATATTTCTAAATAAATTTACATAAACTGATACGAATTCTTTAAAAATGAATGCAAAAAAAAAATTTTCAAAATCAAAGAAAAGTGAAATAATCAGTTAGTTATAATAGCTATTATTGAAAAAGTATTATTAAAAAAAGTATGAGTTATAATTTATTATATAATTAAAAAGATAAACTTAAATTCCATAACTTTGAAAATAATAATTATATACACTTAGATAAAATATTTTTATTGATTCTTTTTATTTTTTATTTAAGTTTAATATTTTTAATATTAGAATATTTAAAACTTTGAATTTTATATGTTAAAAAAATAAAATTATTTAAATTTAAATAAATTACTTATATATAAAGAAAAATACCCTATTTGTTGTAAATATATATTATTAATAAGAAAAATATAATAAAAGATAAAATAAAAAGGTATTGTTTTTTACAAGGATTATTTATTTTACATTTTCTATTATATAGAAAAAATAAAACTTTTTTATTTTTAATTTAAAAAAGAAGGAAAATATTATGTAGAAATGTTCAAATAAAAATACTAAGTGATTATAAAAGCTAAGAATATACTATATAAATTTAATTCCTATAGTATTTAATTTTATTGAATAAAATTAAATTATTAATAAAAACATAGTACTTAATATTTGGTATTAAATCCTTATGATTTAAATTTTAATATTCATTACCTATATTTATATATATTATTCTAAAATATTTTAAAATATAAAATAAATTTAAATAATAAATTTTATAAAATAAGTTTTTTTTTTTTTTTTTTTTTTTTCCATCTTTGTAAATCTCAATTTTATTTTTCTTTTTTTTAGGAGTATAAATGTTGATTGTATCTTAGAGTAGCTAAAGAGTAATGTATTACTCTTAAAGGAAAATTAAAAATATCATTTTATCCAAAAAAAATTATATCTTGTTTTGAAAATGTTAAATACAACATTGCATCCTATAATAAAGAAATCGATAAATTATGAAAATTTTTTTTTAGGAATTAATAATATAAATGTAAACCATTGTAATAAATATTATTTTTCAAAAAAAGAAGAAAAATGTAAAAGAATATATTATGCAAATAATACTATTAATATATTTGTATTATTATTTTTGCTTTCATTGTTGTATTTTTTCTTACAAGTAAAATAAATGCAAAAAAAAAAAAAAAAAAAAAAAAAATAGTATTTTCTACATTTTTTTAATTAAAATTTCATTATTTTATAAAATATATTTTCAAACAATTTTTCAATTTTATTTCAGTCAACATTTAAATTACAAGGTCAAGTAATATGTATATTAGGTCTTAATAGAAATTATCCAAGAAAATTAATTGAGCGTGAATATTTTTATAGAAAAAAAAATAATTTTAATGAACTGAAAAGGAGGATAAGCGAAGAAGAAATTTATGATATGTGGTGTCGTTACATGAATTATATGGAAGAAGAAGATTGCAATGATATTTATATAAAAATTGAAGAAGAATGGAAGAATATTACTGAAGAGTATAAAATTGAAAAGAAATGGTCAAAAAAAATTCTGAAAGTTTGGTATACAGAACTATCTAGGGAATTGTTATATAAATATCTTCAAGAATATAGAGAGCTTGAGAATAAACAAAATGATACATATACATTAGGAGATCATATAGAATTTTTGAATGAAAAATTGAATCAATGGAGAAATGACAGATACATTATAATGGATAAATGGAAAACATTTAGAGAAGAAGCTACACATATATGGAATGAATATATATTAGAAACTTCTGAAAAAGAAGAGAAGGGAAACAATGAAAAAGTGATAGAATCATTAAAAAAAAGAATATCCATATCAGAAAAACAAGAAATAAAAAATGATACTAAAAATTGTAAATCAAGTGTTATTACATAAAGTGAGATGAAATTCCTGAAAATAAAAATATATGATAAAAATATACAATGATAATGTTAATATGATAATGAAAGACAAAAAAATAAAAATTTTGTTGAAGGAAAAAATTACAAAAAAAAAAAAAAAAATATATATATAAATCTCAAAAGTTCAAAAAGAGAAATTAAAAAAAATATATGAATTATATAAGACTAATATAAAAAAGAAAAACCAAGAAAATGTAGTTTCAAAAGTATTCTTTAATAATAATATATAAAAATAAAATTTTTCTTGTCTTTCATTTTCTCAAAAAAAAAAAAAAAAAGTCAAAAAATTAATATATAATATAATAAAAAAAGGGCATGCATATATATAGATAGAAAACTTAAAAATGCATTTTTTGATATCCTTACTATTAAAAATACATAGGATAATACTATACAGGAATAGGATAAATAAAACAAGAAATAGACAAAGTGAAAAATGAAATGGAAATAACTATCTTCTTTTTGTGAATAGAATAAAAAAAAAATTACGAAAATTTTTATTTTTATATTAGAAATATTTTGGAGGTATATAAAGATTCCTAATATAAAGTATAAGATGAAAACGATAAATTAATAATTAAAAAAGTGTACATATATATTAAAAAAAAGGCGTTTATAAAAAAAATATAGTGTATAACACCCTCAGGAATAGTGTTTATATTTCTTTCTTTAGAATTTTATTTTAAGTTAATAATTATGAGTGAAAAGTATAAATATAAATGAAAAATACATAAATGATAAAGGTTATAAATTTATATTCAAGGGAATTGTAGAAATATGTTTTAAAAAATATATTTTTTTTTTTCATCTTATGTATTATTTTTTTTACAGTTGCATATGCTATTTAATATTTATTTTAGTTATAAGTGCCATTGTTAAAATTTTAAATTTTATTAAATTCACTTTTATATTTATTTAAATAAGCAAAATAAAATGTCTTATTATATTATAATCATTGCATATAATACATATAAAGTACTATTTTTTCTTATTTCTTTTTTTTTTTTGTTCTACTATTTACATGCATAAAAAAAAAAAAAAAAAGTATTGTATACAAATTTCTTCTACTTTATTTATTAAACAAATGAAATATTATATTACTTTAATGTTAACTTATTTTATTTTTTATTCTTATACGAAAACACAAAAAAAAAAAAAAATAATTATTTCTCTTTTTATTAAGTATAATAGTATAATCATAATCATTCAATGTATTGTCTTTTTATTTAACAAAATGGTATAATATTTGTATATAAATGTGTATATAATATCAAATTATATATTTTTATTTAAATTAAACAAAGTTTTAACAATTTGTTTATTACAACGTTTTTTAATATAATAGATAAATGTTTTTTTATTTTTATATGTTTTACAATTTTATAAATAATTATTAAGTATATTATGGCTTATTTATTTATATATATTTATATATATATATATATATATATATATATTTTTTTTTTTTTTATACAAGTAAATTGAAGAAACGGTATCGCATCTTCTAAGGATAATAAATTTGTCTTTTTTTAATATATAATAAAATATAAAAGGAAAACAATTTTTGTTATATTTATATATATATGCTATAGCATATATTTTTAATGTTATTATTTATTTTTTTTTTTTTCTTTTCTTTTTTTTTAAATGATAAAATGAAAAACAAATTTTCAAAAGTTTCTAGTTTAATTAAATTCTATATACAATATAGAATTGCACGGTTTTTATTCATTAAAAAAAAAAAAAAAATTACATTTTTGACAATTTTTTCGCTTAATTAAAAGTAACAAAAATAAAATAAATAAAAAATATTATTTTTACTCTTTATAATTTTATTGTTCTGATTTTAATCATTATGAAAATAACAAATAATTAAAAAAAATACCCTTTTCCACTTAACCCATATACTTTTTATCAGAATATTTTATATTAACCTTTTTAAAATATTTTTGTGAATGAGATTCTGTTTAACAAAAATATTGAAAGATTACATTGAGAAATATATAAGAATAAGAACAATAATCATTAAATCCGCCATATAACGAAAAAAAAAATATTAATTAAACTATAATTAAATAAAAAAAAAAAAAAGCAATGCACTTAAGTAGTATAGGATAGAAAAAAAAAAAATATATTATTATGAAAAATGTAATAATTCGTTGTTTTATTAATTCTTTTACAACACTTTCTTCTATCATTACTATCTTTGCAATATATTTAAAGTTACCAACTTATATCTAATGAACACCATATTATGAAAAAAATACTAAACTAATAAATGTTTATTGAATACTTTTATGAGAAAAAATTCTTATAATCATAAATTATTATATCTTTTTATACATTTTCTTTAAAAATAATCTAATAAAAATAAATGTAATGCAATAACAATATTTTTACAAGAATATTTTTTATAGCTGAGCGAATGTAGAAATTAATTGAAAGTTTTCTTCTAAAAAATATTTATGCTTAATATTTCATATCAATTTTTAATATATAGGTTATGGATTTAATTTTAACTGTTTATAAATTTTAATAGTTAATTTAAAACTGGAATAATTTAAAAAAGATTTTGTAATTAATTTTATTAAATTTAAATTTTACGTAAATTTTATGAGCTTAATTATTATACTCATATCTATAATTTATATTTATTCTTTAATAAATTACTTTTAATTTGTAAGCATATAATTATTAAATATAATAAAAAACTAATAAATTTTAAGATATACAATTCAATATCTAAAAAATTTAAGACTATTATGAAATGTAATAATGTCTTATATAACATTGTAACTTCTATAATTCTTATAGATATATTATAACTTCAAGAATATTTCTTATAAAAACATAAATAAACATGACTTATAAAAAATTCCATAGCTTTAATTATGTTATGGATATTCCTTTGTTATTGTAATTAAAAGCAAAATTTACATTTAATTAGGTTTGTAATGTTTTCTTTTTCTTTAAACTATAGTATTTAATTTATTAAGTATATATATAAATTTTTCTATATAATACTTTTTGTAGTTTAATTTCATCCATTCTATTTGTTTGGAATATAAATTATTACCCCATTAATATTGTAAGAAGCATATTTTTAAACTTTTAATATTTGTTAATAATTAAAAAAAAATGTATATGAAAATTAAATAAGAGTTATTATTTCTGGAAAAAAAACTGTTTCATTAACGTTTAATACACAATTAAATGTAGTATTAATGTGTTATATACATTACAATATATTTATAATGATTTTCATATTTTTTCTACATATATAATTGACTTACAATAAGTTAATTTACCAACATTTAATTTTGCACTAAAAAAAATTATAAAATATATCTCTATTCTGTTATTTAGTTTTAGACCTTAATTTTTCATTTCAGGTTAAATATACATAATATGATATTCTGATTAGTTGACCACTCAAAGACTTTTATAGAAATTTGAATAGTCAAAATAATAAGGATTATATAGAAAAATTTCTAACTATATTAATCATAAACTACTTAATACAGACAATTATACACCCTTTATATAATTATTTATTTGCTATAAAATACGCACATTTATTTTATATCCTATTTTTAATTACTTTTCTCAATAGTTTTTATTACATACTATATCCCTAAAAAAAAATTAATATTCACATGACACTTTTTTTTTTCTTATTATATTGTTATTATGTATAATTTTTATGGGTATATCTTTATTATGTTTCAAAAAATGTGAATCATGGATAAAAAATTATATTATTATTTTTTTTCACAAAATTTTGTTAAATGTATCTTTAGACATACTTACACATATATATTTCATTTATGTTAGGTTCAATATCAATTCCTTGATGTAATTTTTTATTATTATATAAAATTCCAAAAGACCATTGATATCCTTTATTAACTATATTTTAAAAAAAAAATATTGACAATTTATTTATTCAAAATTTTCCATAAAAAATTCAACTTAAGATAAATTCTGTATATATGAATGTAAAAAAAAAATGACTAATACGAAATTTTTTTAAAACAAAAAAAGAAGCAACCATTTATAAAATAAAATAAACTCTATATTTGAACATTTGAAATTTTATTACCCAAATATTTGTTCATCCCTTAAATCTTGAAATTATTTATTTTGTCGGGATTTAAGTTTTCATTTTATAAGTATATTAAAATACATATATATAAGTATGGAGAATTCTGATTTTAGAAAAAAAGATAATAAATTCAGATTAATCTTATATTCATATGCATTATATTTTTCCTATATTTATCTTTTGAAATAAATATTTAGTTTTATTAAAGTAGGTTCATATATTTTATAACACAAGAAAAACTTTTAAAATTTCCTATAAAAAAAAAATACGTAGAATATATTATATCTCAATTTTATTTTCAGTAAATATATTTAATAACAAATAATAAATAGTTTTCGATGTACTATTATATGTAGTTTAATGCATATTACTTAGTTAATATTGTAATCATTTAACATTTATATTATTTAAAAAATAATAAAATAAATATTCTTTATTTTTAAATTAAACAATAAACATTCATAAAAATATATTTCCACAAAAATTATGAATGCTCTTTATTTATAAAAGTAAAAATGTTTTATGTGCTATTTCTATTAAGAAATAATGTCCACTTAATAATTTCAAATGAACCTTTAATTTATCTCGTTATATTTTAATATTATTATGTAGTTACAATATAGAAGAATTTTAACAGAAGTGTTAAATTCATAAAACAATATTCTGTAAAATAATTATTTTTACTAAATTATGTTTCATTCACAATCTCTATTTAAGTAATAATATTAAAATATACATTTGTATAAATTATTTTAAATAATGTTATTTTATTAATAGCATTGTACTTATTCTTGGAATTATTCTTGAAAATATAATGTTGTGATTTTCTTAAGTGTGTGAAAATATTAATCGTGTAAATCCTTTTTTTA